TGCTGAGGTATTTCATGGTCATTTATGTTACAGGAGCATGAAAGGCCCAGGCAGGCGGTGAGATAGGGGGTCAGTCCCAGGCGTTCCTAAGGCTGCACTTGGATGTTCAAATGAGATGTGTGTACATGCTCTGCCTTCTCCAGCCCACTGCCAAGGTCCTGGTTTCATTCCCCTCCAGCCCTGCTTGTCCCAAACCTCCTCCCCACCCTATCCCTTGTTTCCCCAAGTCCTTTTCTCAGGTTTCTCTGCTGCAGTCTCTTAACCCCACAGCAAATGCCTTCGCATCTCTTGGGTACAAACCATTTCATAGAATCGTCTAGGTTGGAAAAGACCTTTAAGATCAAGTCCAACTGTTAACCTCCCCCTGCTATCCCACCACTAAACCATGTCCCTAAGCACCTCATCTACCCTTCTTTTAAATACCTCCAGGGATGGGGGCTCGACCACCTCCCTGGGCAGCCCATTCCAGAGCCTGACAACCCTTTCCACCTGATCTCCAACTGGTCGGCCTCAAGAAGAGGCCAGGGAGACACAGCAGCCCAGTGCAGCACTCAGGAGTAAGCAAGGTGGCAGAGAAAGAGAGTAAAATGGCATAATCCAAAACGTATTGATGGCCCAAAATAAAGGATGCAGAACCAAAAGGGACGCAAGGGAAAAAATTATGAGCAACAATCCAGCTCTTGCAGAGGAAAAACTCTTGTAGCTTCTCTGCCAGGTCCACCAGGTCCTCGCATCCCCTCATCCTTACCTCAGCCTGAGGTGGTGGGGAAATAACTCCAGCTTGTGCAAAATGTGCTTTTCTTAAAGCTGAGATCAGGTAGAAAGGGGCTGGAGAAAGGGAGAAATATGCAAGGAACCTTGTTTCTGCTTCCCTCTCAGGCCTGGCTTACATACCAAAGGCCCAAGCCAGGGCTCAACACTTCCTTGAGCTACAGAATAATTATTTTAGCTACAGCAGGAAAGCAAAGACAGCTGAGAAGGAAGTGTGCAATGCTTAGCATTGCAGTGCCTGCTTGCATTTCTAGTTATCCTTTGTCAGAAAGATGGAAAAAATAAGTTTGTTTTTCTGTGACTTGCCCATCATGTTGCTGTTGACCTTTTGGCAGCGCCTTCCAACAAGCAGCACCAGCAACCCACCACCCCCAAAGCTGTCCCTTCCAGAGGCCAGGGCTCCTCACCACCCACAAGGAGGGAGCTGGAGCAGCTGCATTGAGCAAGAAGGATTTGTTCTCCTCAAAGGCATATATAGGAGCTTGGAAACAAGTTGGTTTTGGCCCAAGCACAAGAGAAGCAGGCTGTGAAAACAAATGACCAGGCAGATGACTCCAAAGGGAGATAAACCACCTACGTTCAGCCCTGCTCAACCCTCCAAGCGTGAGGAGCTCTAATTCCAGCTCACAGACTGGAAAATGCAAGTGTTAACAGGTATAAGAATTTCGATCAAGATTCAATCACAGGGGAGTTTGTTGTTAAACCACAAAGAGGTGATGCACAAGTGCTTGGGCAAGAAGAAAAAGCTGGAACAGGCAGGTAGCTGAAGAGGTTAAAGAAATCTGTAGGCCCTGCCTCTCCACTCCCCCACCTGAAAACCCAGTTCTGGTAATTCCTGGCCTTCCCTATCAATATCAGCCACAGAAGCTGTCACAGTTGATTTAATGCCTGCCTCCTACCTTGACCATCAGAGTTGCCACTGATGGTGTCATGACCTTGAGAGAGTCCAGCTTGTGAGGAGCACATACCAGGTCCCCACCAAAAGATCCCTTGCCATGCTTCAAGGAAGGCATCTTATTGTATTCTTTTTTTATTAAGAGTCCTGTTGCTTTGAGCATACAGGTGCAATAAGCTTTATACAGAGAGGAACAGGGAATAAAGGCAGAGCTTGAGCAGAAGGATGCCCTCGTGGCGATGTACAGGTCTGTCAGCAGCCATACAGAGACCAGCACAGAGCTATGAGCCACCACAGCTCCTTCCCAGGCGTGGCAGGGAGGATTATACGTGTATAAAACGGGGCAAGGTTTGGTCAAACAGTAACACCTTGCAACACACCCCCTTCGGCTGGGGACATGGTGAAATGCAGACGGCTCCATACCCACGTTTGTGATTCACCCCCCCAGTGGGCACGTGGGTGGGTGCTTCAGTCCCTGCTCACAGGGTTGTTTTAGGGAAAGTAAAAAAAAAAAAGCCAGGGAGGCAGAGAACACCGGAGACTTCTTGTGGCAAGAAAAGCACCTTGTGTGTGCCTGTGCAAGGCAGATAATCATATAGGGAGTTTTAGGTGTGGTGTGGCCAAGCCCCTCAGGGACTCAAGGAGTGGGCGGCCTACCTCCCAGCACCGCGTGAGACAGCGGGCAGGGCTGATGCCAAACTGATCAAACCTGATGTGACCAGCATATACCTACGTGTCGTGGTTTAACCCTGGCCGGCAACTGAGCACCACCCAGCCGTTTGCTCACTCCTCCACCCTGTGGGATGGGGGAGAGAATCAGAAGGGTAAAACTGAAAAACCTCATGGGTTGAGACAAAGACAGTTTAATGGGGAAAGCAAAAGCCGTACACACAAGCAAAGCAAAGCAATGAATTCATTCACCACTTCGCATGGGCAGGCAGGTGTTCAGCCATCCCCAGGACAGCAGGGCTCCATCACACGTAATGGTGACTTAGGAAGACAAACGCCGTCACTCTGAACGTTTCCCCCTTCCTTCTTCCTCCCCAGCTTTACACGCTGAGCACGATGTCATATGGTGTGGGATATCCCTTCGGCCAGTTGGGGTCAGCTGGTCCGGCCATGTCCCCTCCCAGCTTCTTGTGCCCCCCCAGGCTCCTGGCTGCTGGGGTGGTGTGAGGAGCAGAAAAGGCCTTGGCTCTGTCTAAGCCCTGCTCAGCACTAACAAAATTATCCCTGTGTTTCCCCGCGTTATCAACACTGTTTCCAGCACAAATCCAGAACACAGCCCCACACTGACTACTATGAACAAAATTAACTCTACCCCAGCCAAAACCAGCACACTACATTTGTCTACAAACATAACTCCCTGGGCTTCGGGAACTTTCAGGTCAAGACCTGTGCTGCTGCAACAAGTTAAACCTTTCCAGAGTTAGGTGGCTGCAGAACAAAGGGGTTCATTCCACAGCAGGACTCAGCTGTCCCTCTTCACACCCCTTCGTCCTTTAATTCGTATTTGGATCTGGTCATATGTCACTTCAGGCAATGCTTTCTTCAACAGCGCCTAGCTTCTCAGCAGTAGCATGTTTAACTATAATCATATTCTCCAGTTTTGCTGGAGTTGGTCACTATCTCAACCCCCAACAGGCAGGATTTTGCTGGGCTTTTTGTTTATAGCATGCGGGCAAGGTTGTTCTTTCCCAGGAAATCAAGAGCCTTCACTTTAGATGACAGCAACAAATGTTAGGTTGTCAGCAAGTATATCCTGGATTTATTTAAAGAGCTACGGGAAATACCATCACCTTAAGTACATTTGAAATTGGGAAAGGCAAGAGCCTTCCCAAGCAAGAGAAATTTCAGAGGGCAAGATCCAGGTGCTACCAAAATCAGTATTTGTATGAAACCTTGCCTCTGGCAGGCTGGAAGAAGAACAAGTCACAGCACAGTATCTGAGCTGGTCTTACCAGAGGTGCACAAGCTCTCCCTTTGTCTGCCCTTGGCAATGGGCAAAGACACCATGCTCATGCCACGGAGCTGCCACCACTGACCCCCTCCCATCTCCTGCTGGAGGTCCAATGGCAGCAGGTGAGCTGAAGCTATTGGCACACATCCATCCACTGAAGAGGCTGAACTGCTCTTCAGTTCCCTATCAGCATCTCAACAGACGACGCTACAAGCTGGAGACCCAGTTCCAATGCCAACCAGCCACTGACCATGGCCTGCCACCACCCGTTTCGGCACTTTCCCACTCCGCACACTCTATACTGCAACTTTGGCACGTGTTCGTAGCGTCAGAAGAGACAAACCATAACCTCACCCATGGTACTTTTCCATCGGTTTGTCTCCAGCTGAAGATAAACCAGCTGGGTGCAGGACTCCTATAAATGCATGAAAAACAGCACCATGGAGTCACACTTGGCAATTCAAAGTTCCCCTTTGTTTGAACAAAATCTGATCTAGCCAAAATAAGCATGCTGTTTATCGCTTTTGCTATTCCCTCAGTGGCCATACAAATCTGAACATATTGAAGGAATAAAAAAGCTTCACAAATTATCTAAATCGTCAAAACAGTTTCAGAATTGTTCAGTCCTAACAGAACTTCTGCTTATCTCACCCGACAGACTAAAGCGTAACAGATAATGCAAGTACGCAACAACCACTCTCAATGCAAGGGAAGACAAAGTTGAAGCTATGCTCCCTGCACAGGAACCATGAAAAAAAAAATTCAGCATCAGAACAGGTCAGACACATACACATCTGTGATAGCTCCTATGCAGAACGGAGAGTCACAAAGGGAAATTCTGATGTGGAACACAATGGCTTTTTATCACAGCTCCCAAATTCTTTGTTGACTTTTTAAACAAAGACCATTAAGGCATATCTACAAGGGCTGATGCAGATTCTTTGCAAAGTGTCAGATCTGGGACACAGCAGCACAGACACACACACAGCTTTTGGTTTTATCTCATCTCCAGCAAGACCGAAACACGAAGACCAGAAGCTACAGTCTGTCTCCAGCGCTGAAGGAGACACACCCTTGAATTTAAGGCCGGTGCCATAACCCAGTCTGAAACATCCTCAGCCCCATCAGTCAGTGTTGAGATGGGTTCTCTCTTCCAGGCACCACAGAGAGATAACTCTGCTGACAGGTAATAAAAAAAGCACAAATGAAAGGAGAAAAAGTTATCATCGGTCACTAACTCCCCTCTTCTTGAGTGCCTGGGATTACATTAAGAATTTCAACTGGACCCGTAAGACACGTAAAATCCGTAATAAAGGAGGCCGAACAAATTGCAAACTGTGAGACAAATACGTAAGTAGAAAGTGGTTTCATCAGTTTATTGCTTTTTGCAACCCGAACTTTGCTGCCATTTCACGGATGGTTGAGTCTGTGCAGGCGTATTCAATGCAGTACACACTACGACGGAGAACAACGTTTTATCACAAGGCATAAAACTGGTGGGAAAACAATCTAATCCTACATCAACATAATTTGAGAAGTTGACAGTAAATGCAGCATCTCCAAAAAAGCTATTGGCATTTACATTAATCAACTTATTTTTAAGTTACTGAGCAAAGCAAACGAGTGAGGGACCAAGTGCTCTGAAACACGTACTCTTGGTGTATTCGGGATGTCCTCCCAACACACATGTTCTGAAATCTTCCAAAATTTCATTAAATGAAATTAAGGTACTTTGCTTCCAGTTCAAATACCAGGCAAAAATAATTAGCGCATTTTAATATATTAACTAAAAGACTATCTGTATAAAACTCTTTGCACATGAAGTATTTTTAAATTAAACAATATCATTATTATACTTACCAGAAAAACATAGACTAGAAATTTATTGCTAGTACAAAATTAATGTGTTTCACATATGAGGAAAGTTAGATTAATATTATTGCTATAAACACAAACAGTGCCGGAGACAAGACTCTGATTTGCAAATTTGCTCACTGTCCACAACTGGGTTTCAAGGACATGTAGGTACATGAGGTCCACAACCTTCTTCAATTAGGCTTTACGATCTGATGTCATTTTATTGCCTTTTAATATAATGGTCAGAATCAGTCTGCTGCTGCTGTGTTCTAACATTATCATTAATTAGAACTTCTCTCAGTGGAAAAAAAAAAAACCAAGAACCAACCAAAATCCAAAAAAAAAAATCCCCAAAATAAAAAACCTAACCACCCTAATCTTGCTTTCCCACATTAGTATTTTGAAAATTTAAAACTACAACTACATTCATGTCTTAACCCATAACAAAAAAAAAAAAAAGTGGGATTATTCACAATGTGGAGAGTCCGAGACTATGAACAGTGTTTCTAGGCCTAGCTTTGATCAATTCGCTAACAAGCTTTCATTCACAAAGAAAGCATTTTTCACATACTATAGATTGAGTAACAACACTACTCAGTGCAGTCATACCTACTACTCTACTAGTAACAAAATGAAAACTAACACCAAAACCTGCTGGCAGATCTGCACAGTCCAGTTTCTTTGCAATGCACTGATTTCCAGTCACAAGAACATATATTTCTAGCTTTTTTTTTTTTTTTTTTTTTTTTTTTAAGTATGTTGCTCTCAGCAGTTATCTAGCTTGCTACTAGATGATGCTACTTTCTCAAAGTGATTTTCTTCTTAACTTATACACACTCACCCAATTGCTGACTTAAAAGCTGATCTGGGAAAACCATCAATTCTCCCTTCAATTAAATAGTCAACACTAGAGTTCGTAAGGGTTATCATCATTATAAACTATTAAGGTTATGATATCTGTAATTAATTATTAAAGGATCATAAAGTCAACCAATGGAAGTTTTAGCCTAGTCATAGATTCTATTATTGCTAAATGGAAGATTGCTACAAACCAGTGTTTTATAGAACCAGCAATTTTCAAGTCACTCAAAAAAAGGGAGGGGGGGGCAGCAGATTTTGTATTAATGCCACTTCTTTAATTGGGGTAGCTGAACTCTATTGCAAATCAACGAGTTAAACATTTATCTGGGTATTCAGGAATGGACATGACAAAAGATCTGATTCAGGTGAAAGTCTCGTACTGTCTAAACCCTCTTCTAGTGTGCCCTAGCCCCAACCATGCCTCACGACAAAGCACGATTCTAACCCAATACATTAATGCATCAGTGATTTTAATATCAATCATGACCACCAAAGTACTTACTATTCAGTTGCTGCCACAACAGTTCCTTTGCCTTCACCTCCACTCCTGCGTTCCTCCTCCACCCCCAGCAAAATATTAGTACAAAACCAAAAGAATATAAATACTTGAAGGGGGAAACACAATGCTCAAGTTGCAAGAAATGAAAGACTTGAGAAGCATATGCCTTTCTTTTCATGGCATGCATGAAAAGGAGTCATAAACCAAGGACTGGACCGACAAAGACAGTAGTTCAACTCTTGGATGCTGTTAGACATCTCAGGATAGTGTTGTGCGTACCATATATATCTGAAAAGAAAACCTCTGCTTTTCTTCAGACAACTTAAAACATTAAATATTTTAAATGGATCTCTTTCAACTCTGAGTTGTATTTACATAGCTATCCACAAAAATGTGCAAAGTAAAATCTGACATCGAAATAAATTTAAAAGTCCAACAAATTGAACTTGACATTAAAAAAGGCAGCAGAGATTCCATGTCCATTCTATACATGCTTTGAAGAACTACTTAAGACTGAAAAGGTTGTTCCAGCTGAACCTCTGGAAATTTAACAAATCCAAACCACACCGCACTTCAATCACTAGCTGTCTTTGCTGCAGAATTCACAACGTATCCCACCAGTGAGGTCTCTGATAACTTTTTCTTTGATCAGTTTTTGCAGGAATTTTGTTTCACTTGTCACATTGTGCATAGTTTGTCCATTCATGGCAGCCATGCAGAGGTTGTTGTAATAGTGCAAAGGTGTGCTGGGCTGATCGAGGTCATATCCAAATCCTGCTAAACTCACTTCATCACATAAATGTGTGGCCAGAACAACTGCTGTGACCCCAATTGTAGGTACATTCTAAAAAGGGGGAAAAAGAAGCCCGCTGAATTAAAATATATTCTCCTTTGCCAGTTATATAAACACTTCACAAGAATTAATGGCTTTGTCTATTCCCTCTCCTCACTTAAAACTGAAATCAATTGAACAATCAATTAAAACTCAAATAAATTACAACTAAAACTAAAAATAAATTAAATGATCCAGTAAAACTAAAATCTTCAGGGCCAAATCCCAATACAACTTGAGTATCTGCCCGTAACAAGACTTTTGGCTGTCAACTCTAAATTTTTTTCTGTGAAGGCAAGAGGCCCTACTACTATGTAGTTAGAACTGTAAGTGAACCCTCACTCCAAACACTCAAACAACTCCTGACCGGCAGTTAAACTTGACATTTCTTGATGAATTCTTACTTCAGTCTTGAGCAACACATTCTCTAACAGTAGTCTTCATAACATGCCTTTTCACTGAATAACCCACGAAGGTGGCAAGTATACTACGATAAAACTAAAAAATACGTAGGTTGGCATGTTACATCATTTTTATAAATAAATGTGAGAAGATGCTTCAAACATTTGTGCAGTAACACTGCCATTAAATTTTTTCATACGAAAAGTAAAAAGATGATGGTTATTCACTATTGTTCACAGTCCAAGAGAACTAGTCACATTCAATTTCTCAAACAAATAACTAAAATAACAAAAATGCAGTGTATAATTAAACGGGGCAATTCATCACTCCATACTATTGCTGGAGTGAAGGACAGAGGGAGGATCTACCCATCAGCTGGTATTGAGCATGTTGCCATACACAGCAATTCCAACAGCTGGAAGGTTGCTTTACAGTGGCCTGGTTTCCATACTCTCTCTGCCTTCCCTGCAGCTAGAGACACATCTGTCTATAGGCAATTGCTGGTTTGACTTAGCAGGGCTGCTCTTAACACACTTAACATACATCAAATGCGTGTTTTGAATATTTAACAGCAGTCACAGTGACGTGTGAGTGAACACACTTGAACTGGAACAAATTTATGCCTCGCTGCATCTGAATGCTTTGTAAACCAGGTCACTTCATGTCAGCATGCGCAGCCATAATACCTCATCTAAAAAGGTGAGCTGAAATCCTACTTTGATTTTAAACGAGAAAATACAGGAGTTTTTTGAGAAGACGTTAATTTCCCCTATTACTTGAGACCAGCTCTGAAACTGCAGAGAGAAACTATATTAAAGGTAGAGCCTAAGACTTTTTCCGTTTTTTTATTTTACTTTGTATTTTATAGTCTCTTTCTCCTAAAAACAAACTTCTTACCTTATCCCAACCCCAGAATTTTGACCGAGGTTCAGGGAACTGTAAAATGTCCAAAGCTGTCTCTTTGATGATGACTGGATTCAGAATCCGAAACTGCTTTGATGTAAAAGGAATTTTCTCAGCAACCTCCTTCCAAAAGAAGAGTCGCATCCACAGAGGCTAAGAGAAAGAAAAAAAATAGTTCAGCAAAGGCAAACTCTGAGACTGCAAAGTGTATGGCAGACAGTACACAAGTTAAAGCATTCACCCGTGCTTCTGAGAAATTCAGGAAACAGTTTACAGCTAAGATGGGTTCAGGAATACCAGTGTACAGCTCAAGTGACTGACCCAGAAGAGGAAAAACCTTCTAAGTATTTGAAATGGCAGAGAGGCTAGCAGGGGGAAAGTTGTTTATTTTGAATATTTGACTGCACTTTGTGTTCAATCAGTCAACACATCCACCAGAACCCACAAGGTTCTTTGGACCTTCCCCAGCACAACTGAGCAGGCAGTATTTAAAGAAATGGGAGAGGGAACCACAGTTTTCCACGAACATTAACCAGGCACTCTGAAGCAAGCACTGGATTTAAAACAATTCTGCCTGGGATTTGAAGTGAACAACTGTTGTTTGACAGCGTCCACCTAGTGATAAATGCAAAGCTGCAGAAGAGGATTTACACAAGATTGAGCAAGCTAGATTCTGATCTCATGCCACTTGAAGTCAATTAGATGCATGCTAATGCAAAAAACAACACTAAATCAGGCTCATTTTACAAATCTTTCCATATAGTATGTAACACTAGGCAAATAATAAAACCCATAGCTGCAACATAGACCTATGTTTTTAAACAGGCTTATTGCTACCCTAACATGCAACTCTACAGCAGCTTAAACTGATCAAATCTAGGTTGTCATGGTCCCATCTTCCCACCTGTGCTCTGAACAAGTTTACTGAAGTCCCAATGCCTGCAGGGAGAGCTGATCCAACTGAAAGCCTAGTATTTGAAAGAAGTATGTTTTCAGTTCACAGAATCAGAGTGGTTGAGGTTGGAAAGGACCTCTGGAGTCAAGTGGTTCAACAACCCTGCTCAAGCAGGGCCACATGGAGTCAGCTGGCCAGGACTGTGTCCAGATGGCTCTTGAATATCCCCAAGGATGTAGACTCCACAACTTCTCTGGGAAACCTGTGCCAGTGCTCGGTCACATTCATGGTAAAAAAAGTGCTTCCTGATGTTCAGAGAAAACCTCCTATGTTTCAGTTTGTGCCCGTTGCCTCTGGTCCTGTCACTGGGCACCACTGAAGAGCCTGGCTCTGTCCCCTCAGGTATTTATGTACATTAGCAAGATTTCCCCCTGAGCCTTCTCCTCTCCAGGCTAAACAGCCTCATCTCTCTCAGCCTTCCCTCATAGGAGAGGAGTGCTCCAGTCCCTTAAGCATCTTTGTGGCCCTTTGGTGGACTCTTTCCAGTATGTCCATCCCCAGATCAGTTCCTAAAACTGGCTCTCTGCACCAGCAAAAACACCAGAGCAAGGAAGAAGGTGGGGATGAACAGATCTGCTCCTAAGCCATGCAAAACAAGAAAATGTACTCTTTTCATAAAGAACATACTTCAGTCTTGTAATTCACTAACAGAGGATGTTGCAGATGCCAAAAAGTAATCACTCTTTCAAACCCCCACAAAACAAATTATAATACAGAAAGCCATCCTTGTACTAGTCGTTCTTCAAAACCAAACCTTAAAATATGAAATAGCCAGACAGCTTCTAAAACAAGTAAGTTACAGATTTGACTCAAGTTAGGAAGCCGCTGGTCATCAAAATTACCACACTGCTGCAGTGAAGGTCATAGACCAACACTGTCTTGCCCCTGGTGAAAGAGGTTCCTTCTATCAGTTCCTTAGGAATCTCTGCATTTCTTTAAATATTCAGTGAGAAATAAACAAACTCTTAGTTTTGGAACCCCAGACAAACATGAACTGACAACTGCAATGCTGCTGTTACACATTAACTGCAGGTATGCCTACTGTAGCAGCACAGGTTTCAGCTGTTAAAAAATAACATGGACTGGCATCCCTACTCTCATTTCTGTTTCAGGCTCTGCAGACTTGAACAAAGTCACTTAAACCTAATGTGAAATTAATTCCACTTCAGTAAACGCTCGGTATGTCACGTAGCTTGGTGCAAACCACCAATATCTGCAGAAAAAAAGAAGTGTTACTGTCAGCATGGAGCTTCAACATGAATGCTGGTACCAACTGTAGCTAGGAGACACAGCTAAAAACCCCACAAAGTTAACTAAAAAGATCCTCGGTATAATAAAACAGGAAGTGATCAGCCAGCTTTTTAAGCACTAGAAAATTAAAAAACACCAAAAATTACAGGTACATAATATATTACATACCAAGGTTTCATTTTTTACCATTGCTTGAAGCCAATTGAAATCAACACTTTTAAACAAAACAGCCACAAACAAGCTAGCAGGAGGATACTCGTGTTCAGAAAGGGGCGCTCCTTCCGGGTAAGTCATCCGTATAGTAGTTTTGTTACCAACGTGATCTGTGTATCCTTGAACTGGTGCATCATTTAACCTAAAAAAAACCACAAAACAAAAAAACCCCACACCACAATGGAGAGAAACTATATTTAATAAACATGGGTTACAATTTCATTAAGAGACACTCATCAGACACTAAGCAAAGAACTTGTATTTGGCCCACAAATTTTTAACAAGCAGAGTACAGCTTTTTCTCAGTATCTTGGTGTTCCTCGTCTCACACAGTCATCCATGACTTATCTTTGAGAGGAAGCCAATTCTATTTCTGGATTAACTGGCACAAGTGCAAAACTTCAAAAAGAAAAGCTTGAATAGAAAAGTAACTTAAAACAGCACTGCAGAATTTCATATGCATTGCCTTGTGCCAACTCAGAGAGGCTTAAAAGATGAAGGGAAAGAAAACATACAGGTAGTTACCTGCGTTATTTTTTTATACACACATGAGTATTACACACAGCAAGGCATTCAAATTATCCCTTCAGTATAATGTCATGCATCCTGTGGGTTTGCATCATTCCAGCTCACCAAAAATTTCAGATGCTAGCACACTGCTGACAAGAACAGCATCATCCAGCTCCATCAGTTCTGCAGAACAGCATTAAGTCCCGCAAAATTTTCTGTATCAACAGAAAAGTCACCTTCATGCTGCCAGCCCTAATGTCAGAGAACAGTTAACGGAAGTTCTCTGTCCCTCCGCATGCTAATAGGTTTGCTTACCTACGTATAAGAGATATTGACTTGCTGTATCAAGTCTTCCCTTTTTAAGAGGTGCAAGTCTTTACAAAGCAACTTGGGAAAACATTTGTGTTCAATTTGTGACTTTACATGAATGAAAACACAAAGAAGGAGAGTTCAAACAGTAATGTTCAGAAGGCACATATACAGAGCATGTATTCTTTTAATTCAGACATTAGAAAACATGGGTAATCATAGACAGCATGCACTGATCTTGTAAAGAGAAGGAAAGACAAGCATACTATGCAGTGTGCAAGCAAACTGTTTACTGAAACACTAATTAATTTTATTGTGTTTGAAATAGCTGCTATAAAAAAAAATCCTTCAAAAAAGCATTGCAACTAGCCAAAGGGAAAAAGGCAGAGATGAGTCCTAAAGTCTGCCTCTGAAAGTTTAAACATATGAATGGATAAAACCAGGATTGTCTACTTGTCTAAGTCACTGGTTTCTATCTCATTTCTGCCCATGTTTTGTTTGGTTGGTTTTTTTTTTTTTTACTTGACGTCCACAAATAATTAAACTGAATTCCTGTCTTGTGAACACAATGATTGTCCTGTTTTCATCTGGGACAGAGTTAATCATCTTCTTAGTAGCTGGTACAGCGCTGTGTTTTGGAGGTAGCACTAGAAGAATGTTGCTAACACACTGATGGTTTAGTTGTTGCTAAGTAGAGCTTAGACTGGCCAAGGACTTCTCAGCTCTCAGCTCTGCCAGGTGCACAAGAAGCTGGGAGGAGATATGGCTGGGACAGCCGACCCCAACTGGCCAAAGGGCTATCCCACACCCTATGACATCATGCTCAGTATATAAGCTGGGGGGAAGGAAGGGGGGACGTAGGGAGCAATGGCATTTGTCTTCCCAAGTCACCATTACGTGTGATGGAGCCCTGCTGTCCTGGAGATGGCTGAGCACCTGCCCGCCAGTGGGAATTAGGGAATGAATTCCTTGCTTTGCTTTGCTTGCGTGCGCAGCTTTCGCTCTCCCTGTTAAACTGTCTTTATCTCAACCCATGAGTTTTCTCACTTTTACCCTTCCGATGCTCTCCTCCATCCCACTGTGGGGGGAGTGAGCGAGCGGCTGCATGGTGCTGAGTTGCCAGCTGGGTTAAACCACGATGATTTATTTTGCTCCTAATACTTCAAATTCCATCAAGTGGCAAGTAAATTTCTCAAAAGCACTTTCAGAAATACTCTTGTAAGTTGCATAACTGTTGGCGATACTTTCCCCTTAAAAAACAAAGTCATCTCATAAAGTGAAGTTGAAGTATTTTGAATCCTTAAGTGGAAAATACCTACCTTATAACAATATCAAACTGATTCAATAAGTGACCCAGCTCTGATCCATGAAGAATTCCACCACTGCCAACAACAACACAACGCTTACAGTGTTTTGACTTCAAATCCTCTGGTAAATCATGCTCAGGTAAGAGTTCAAGGAGATTTTTAAGCTTATCAAAGAACTTGTTAAATCCAAAAGGAGGTTCATATTTAAATAAAGCTTCATCTTCATTTATATTTTTTCTTACAAAGGGAGATATGTCCATGCTATATTTCTCTGCAAATAACTTCCCCATTTCTTTCTTCACATATGAAGGTCGGCACTGTTCTTGCAATGCAGCACTGGCATACTGTTGTGCTCTCTAAAACAAAACATCCATGATTTCAGTCAGGAAACCTAGCTTCAGGAACAGACAAAGCCCTCTCAATGCATCCCACCAGCTGACCACCAGCAGTCTAGCAAACACAGGGATTTATAAAGAAAGCTTAAAAATGGAAATACAAGCCATTTTAAAGCATTCACTCAAACGCAGATACTAACCAGTGCAGGGTTCCTGCAAAGGAAAGTCTCTCCATCCGATCACTTAAATCTGGATAGGAGCTTTTCTAAAGAATAAATTAGGCTACTAAAAGAGCTAAGTGAAAATGAGCCATTTGAGAACATTTGTACTGTTACTTAGAAAAACAGATTAAAAAAAATCTAGACGTGCTTCTATCCATCTAATTCAGCAGCAAGCCAGCAAGTGGAATTCCACTCCGCTGCTCAATTGCGTGACCCAGGTTCTGCCTGTGGTAGGATTTTACCAGAGACACATCCACTGGGTTCAAGTTCTGTGAAATGGCAGGCTGGACTTGCTTACTAATCAAAATGAAGCAACACTTCTTCCACAAGTATTGCCAATGTGGTATTGCTAATGACTAAAACCCAACTTTAAAAGGAATGCAAGGTGGAGGTGTTTCAGGTCTTCTTTCAAAGACTAGTCACCAAAATAAAAGACTACAGTTCCATATTGCATAAAAAGATTAAGCTATCAGATAAAACTACACATTGATCCATCTCACTAAAAAAACCTAAACCAAAACAAAAAACTATTCACGTACAGGTTTTTAGAAATCTAAAACGGCAATCAGGTATCTGATGTAAGGAAAAAGAGAAATAGCAAAGGTACTAATTTTATCAGTTAAAAAAAAAAAAAAAAACGCTTTTTGCATGTTCTCTTTCCCAATACAACTGCCAATCTTTCCTCCACTGGAATAAAAAAAGCAAAACATGAGCAAACACAGCAGTCAGTGTCAAGATTTAAATATTGTGCTAACTCAGTTCCCCTTCTGCACTGTTAAGGAAAGGGAAGTGTGTGGCTGGGTACACAAGGAAGGAAGTTGTGCCGCTTTTATTTTATTACTATTTTAAACAAGGTAGTTCTACAGAACTGCCTCTGCCACCGTTACAAGCCTGGGCATAAACAGCACGCTTCTTCCTGGGCAAAGCACAACTGAGCAACTTCATGCTGTACTTTGCCAGCAAGAGTCAGTGGATGTTTGGAAAAGCCTCATTTTTAAGGCTGACAGTTGTGCATCCTATCAGTAAAAATTAATGCCAATCACTTGAAAACCACCACAAACAGTTTGCAATCAGCTACTACCTAACTAAACAAAGACCAATGCTATCTCCTCATCCTGCATCTAACACAAACAAAATGAATCATGAGACAGCAATAAACACAGTTCATGCAGTCTTTAGGTTTGCTTGGCTTAAGGTGCTGGTGGCTTGGAAGCAAGAATATGTTACTGAAAAATGAAGTAAGTCAAACGAGAAGAGGAGGCAAAGAGGCTCAGAAGGGGAAAAACATGCACTGAAAAAGGTGGGGAAGTGTGGGAGGATGCACATGCGGTGATGCTGAGATGAGAGTATCTTAACTTAGGGCTTCTGCTGTAAGCTGTGTCTTAGCATTGAGACATTCAAAGATAGAAATGTAACAACTCTAACCCAAGGTGTACTGTTATTAAAGAGCAAACAGGTTAAGTAGCAAAGGCAGAGAAACATCAGCAAGAATTAAGAGAAAGCTTTATTGAAGCCACATGCCACTGTTACACCAGCTTAAAAGCCACATGCAAAACCATAGTTGAAGTAAGTAGCTGCTACCTTAAATAGATAAATGAACAAAGAGCTACATCCTCCTGCACATTTGCCCTGTGATTCCAAAACCATCTGAGCAACTACAAGGCAAAGCAGACTGGGGAACTGGCTTAGGTAAAAATAAACCTTTGGTTTAATGTGTTGGGCTTGGGGCTTTTTTTTTTTTTAATGTTACTTTTCATTTGCATCAATTTTCTGATCACTAGTGTCATCTTCACTGACACAACAGTATGAATACACATCCATTTCAAATGTTACTCTTAACAGCCACAGTAATCTCATTTTACCCCTAAAATCCAGTTTCTCTACGCACTTCTGTTGGCACTCCACAAGAACAGAAACCAGAAGTTCTATGGCATGAAATGAAGCAAAACATTTTCCCCTCACAGGATAACTTCAGCATTCTAGTTCTTTGTTATAGACCCTTACAACTCTTATATTGTCAATTTATAACTGTATCTTTAAGCCAAGTAAAAAAAAAAAAGCCAAAAAATACCAACCCTTACACGATCGAGGTCCACAAACGGCATTTTTGTTCTGTCACATTCTTCAGGGCCAAAACGTAATTTGACGATATAAAGGAAGCACCCTCCAACCACAAACAGTGCAAGAAGTCTAAAAACAAAAAGGAGTGTGTAGGGGTAGGAGAGAGGGGAAAAAAAAAAATAAATCATCTTTTTTCCCAGTAATCCATCAATTGTTAAATAAGTATTTTTAAACAAATTTAAGGCAGTTGGTTTGGGCTGGGACAGAGTTAATTTTCTTCCTAGTAGCTGGCATAGTGCTGGGTTTTGGATTTAGGATGAGAAGAATGTTGATAACTCACTGATGGTTTAGGTGTTGCTGAAGCAGTGTTTACACAAAGACTGTGCAGCTTCCTATGCTCTCCCAGGGGCACAAGAAGCTGGGAAGGGGCACAGCTGACCCCAGCTGGCCTAAGGGCCATTCTGTACCATATGACATCATGCTCAGCAAACAGAAATGCAGGAAGAAGGAAGCAGAATGGGACATTTGGAGAGATGGTGTTTGCCTTCCCAAGTAACCGTTACACATGATGGAGCTCTGCTTTCCTGGGCATGGCTGAATGCCTGCCTGCGGCTGGGAAGGAGGGAATGAATTCCTTGTTTTGCTTTGCTTGTGTGAGTGGCTTTTGCTTTCCCTATTAAACTGTCTTTGTCTCAACCCACAAGTTTTCTCACTTTTACTCCTCTGATTCTCTCCCCCATCCCACAACGTAGGAGTGAGTGAGCGAGCGGCCGGGTGGTGCTGAGTTGCTGGCTGGGGTTAAACCATGACAAGGTTCATACTTGCATTTGCTTCAGACCAAGAAAATCTATTGCTTAGTTCACTACAAGTCTTTCACAACTCTCCCGAGCTATCTGCAGGGAAGTACGAGCATATATAGATGCTTTGATAAGGAAAATGTTGCATATTGACACTCTGATTTATGCAGTTCTATGCCTGCATCATATACTTTAAATATAACTCTGATGGGTCAAACAAACTCTCCTCACGTAAAGAAACCAAAAGTGACTTTTGTCTTCCGACTTTAAAGGGTAACTTTATTTTTAAAAATATATATTTTCATGCAAATTAAAGGAATGGAACTTCAAATTGCAAGATTTTGGGGCAACAAGCAAAACTTCCAACTCACTGCCAGGCTAGAATGCAGAATTTAGATGCTCAGGTTTATCTTCAGAAGCCTAATTTAATTATTTACATCCCCAAAACATGCAGAAGGAAAAAAACCCAAAACTTTAAAATTGAGTAATATAGTCTATCCGTGGTTTTGATCTACTCGTTTCTCATTCCTAAAGAACCTCACTGTTGATCGCCAAATATTCATTTGGCTCATTTCATGTCTGAACCAATTTGCAAAATTACATCATTATTCGGTTAGAGTTGTGGTTGTTGCTCAAGTATGTAGTTTGAGCTTCATTATTGATTTTCATTTCCTATGGTTTCCTAAGGACTGGACATTTGTTTAAATGTCTTAAAAAAAAATACAACCTACTAAGTGTTCAGTGCTTCTTGAAACTCTTTCAGATGAAGTTAGTACAAGTTTCCAAGATTTAAAAAAACAAACAAAAAAACCCCCCAAACCTTGTACCATATGGGCTAATAGATGCAATCCTGGCACTTAATTTGTAGTATGTGCTGCAAGTAAGGTAACCTCTGAAAAAGCAGCACTGTTCTCACATCTGATTTAACCAAATTAATTTTTGCATTGATAGGGGGTCTAAAACCTCCATTAGCATGTTAGGTTGCAACCCCTGGAAATCAGCTGACTAGTAGAAAAAGCAGATTCACAGGAGATGGATGAGGTTGGTTTTCCTCCACAGAGGCTTATCAAGTAGCTCTAGATTGGATTGGGGTTGCACCATTCAGGTGCTCAAAACACCAGTGGATATAACAGTTTGGCTTTGGGTTTTTTAAGCTTCAAGACCTAAAAATTCATATGGCAGAGGTGCATCACAGTAGTGAGCTTTTTTGGTTTAAAATATGGTTCTGGACGTACACTAGCACACACTCATTAATTCCAAACAACAGAGCAATCAAGATTTTGTAATGTAGCATTTCAGAAGTGTTTATCATAAACAAATTAACTATGAGGGGACACCTCCCCAAAATACCTACTAAAGGTCCACAGCCCTTCAATTTCTTCAATTACCAGACTGTAACAAAAGTCTCAACACTGTTACCTACCTGGATACAAAAAAGATTGGAAATACCTGTGAGTAAAGTACTGGGATCTCACGTTGGCTTGGGAAAACAGGTGCCACTACGGGAGAACCTAGGCCCTCAAAGTGTTTTAGGTGCCCCAGGCAAAGCTGTGCGCCTAACCCTCCTTTCAGTTCCTCTGACAATCTCATCCCTTGATTTTTGCATCCTTTTTGTAACTGCCCAGGCTAGAGGGAGAGCAACAGACCTCTATATTGCCGTGACAATGACACTTACTTGCGAGTACCTTTTAAAAACCAGCTTGGTCTTCTCATCTTCATGTGCGGCCACCTTAAACCATTGCACAGGAGGTGAACAATCACTTTTCAGCTTCACAGAGTTATTGTCACTCAGCATTGCTGTAAAAAAAGAAAGAAAAAAATTCTCATAACTTTTTCTGAATGGAAAGAAGTCCAGAGGACATCCAATGACTGTTAGCTTACTGTTTGCCAGAGAAGACTGCAATTCTTGGTTATCGTGTCAGGAACACAAAATCACTCCTGACCTCCTTGTGACCAAGAATATACTCATTTCAGATGCACTGCCAGGACATAATTCTAAAAATATGTACATGTTGCCAGGTACAGGTCTTGCATTCCTCATAAGCCTAAAGTCTAATAATTGCAGCTGTATCAGTTACTATCAAACACTATTGATTGATCTTGGTCAAACACCATTTTGTTTGAATAATTATTAGACCCTGGACAGGAGAAAAAAAAAAAAAAAAAAAAAACCACTACACAGTATGCTCATGTATTTAAGAACCCTGAATGAAAGCATCCAGCTACTACGCTACCCTGATCCCATCCTCAAAAGTACAGCCCACACCTCAAATCAACTCCCTGATTTCCCTGAGGTTAAGCAATCCTGTCTCATCATTGGTCTGAATCTACTGCTGCCCTCCTTCAGAAGCTCCAACAACATGGTCAGCAAGTTCAACAGCAAGCACCAAAGAGGGTGGCAGGAAATTTTGCCTGGCACACAACAGGACCAGGAGGCTGCCAGCACAAGTTCAGTTTCTGTGCACAGCAGCAGCTTCCCTCCAACAAACACTGCGAACCCAGCAGGAGCACACAGTGCTCCCTCACAGCTGGCCAAGTCATTGATCATTAGCTAACGAGAAGCAATCTCGCTGCTTACTGTTTGCAAGCTCCCACAAGTTTCTACCAGCATGTTTCAGTTCTGATTTTGGAAAAAATGCAGGCTGGCACATCAATTTGTCACAGGCTGCTGCCATTAAAGATGTGAGCAAACAAGGAAGTGCCATGCAAAGCCTACCCATATGAGCCTGCTGGGTTTACCCTGAAAGGAGAAGGGATACAGGCAAGGGTTCTTCCTGCCCTGCCAACCTCCTGAAGCAGCACTCCCTTTGATCAGCTAACCATGGAAGGCTGCAGCCTGACCCTCTGCAATGCAGAATTTCAGCCCTACTCTGTTGCTTAAATGTTGCTTAGGGGAGCCCAGAATACAGACACAGTCTCCATAGGAGTATGGTGAATGCTTCCTCCTTTATTCAGAGCTACAGACATATTTATACTGAGGGATGGGGTCCACGCGACATAAACAACACTTTCATTGGTTCAACAACATTGTCCACGTGCCTCTAGATACATGCTGATTGGTCTAACACACAAACACACGCAATTGGTTTAACACACAAACACATGCGCTATCAAATGCAAGCCTTACGATTAGAGCACATCCTGGTTAGTCTGCAAGCTTTGCAATTAGAGCACATCCTGGTTAGTCTTATCAAGTTCCTTTGTTCTTGTTTACAACACGTGCAAACACATTGTCCTTGTCAAAGCCGGGATTGTCCGTGAGATCCCATAGTATTTTATGGCCTTGTTGTTCAAGAAACTCCTCTACAATTCCCCCTTTTTCTTTTTGGACAATCCAGGCGTGTTCTAGCACCTTTGACATTACCTTCTTAGCACATGATAGTAAACATCCTAATAACAAACACCCTATTATAAGTATAATTATCAAGGTAAGGCCTTTTTCTAATAATACGCGCAAGCATCCTGAAATTCCTCAGGCTGCCACACTGGTGTTCCTATCAGGCATGTACGAAATGGGTCTCCCGGGGTGGCCAAACTTAAGCACAGGGAACTTTGGCCTGTTAAATTAGCTACCGTGACCCAGACATTCATTCTGGGTGAGATCTTTTTCAGTAACTCCTTCATTCCCCAACTATTCTGGAGACATGTCCCTATCACAATTAGCCACACTACTATCTGCATTTCTTTGTCCGTCTAGATCTTCCTCTTCCTTGTTTCCATGGTCGTGAGGAGCTTTCACTGCCGGTCGCGTCCACTTGCTGGGCGCCCAAAGGGGTCCGGAATCTGTCAAAACACAAGTGTAGCCTCGACCGCTAAAGAGCATTGTCCCCAGTCCCGCCCATAAACCTGTTTTTGGGTCTTTGTACATCAGCTTTATACTAGATTCGCACATTCTTGTCTCCTTCTTATAGTGTAACATAGCAGGAGGTACCTCTTGTTGCCCTGACACACTTAAAAAATTCAGAGTAAAGAGCACTTTATACAAACGGATGGAAGGGTCTATTTCAGCCTCTAATTTTTGTTTGGCCAATGTTTCCTTAATGGTTCGATTAGCTCTTTCCACTATAGCTTGTCCTGTAGACACATGAGGAATACCAGTCACATGCTTAACACCCCACCGTTGTAGGTATCGATTCACCTTTTGGCCCCTATAGGCAGGTCCATTGTCAGTCTTTATTACTTGTGGGACTCCTAAAACTGCAAAACAGGCAGAAAGGTGCCGAATTACATGGACTGCTTTCTCTCCTGCTTGCGCAGTAGCCCATATCATATGTGAAAAGGT